AATTTGTTTTTAACTTATACATGAGATACACATAAATTGTGAGAGCGGGTAAGCAGATATTCCAAGAATGCTTATAATAAAGCCCGTTCCACTTTGGAATAGTAGCGCATTGAAATAGGAAAAGAGAGAAAAATAGAGAAAGAAAACTGCAAGAAATTCAAAAGTTTATCTAAGCTATCTGCTGACTCTAAAAATGTCGGAAAGTTTTTGTAAGCTTCGTAAAGCTCTGTTAAAATGATAATGCAAACATTTTTGTGGAGACTCTTGGTACGCATTTAGTTAACAACGATGAAAGTTCAGAAAAGAGTTTTGTAAAGAGTTTTGCAAGGAATGCAGTAGAAAATGGTATCATTCTGAATATCCGAGCGTAAAAAGCTATAAGATTTATTTTTATTATTGTTTCTTTTAAATCAAATGTCTCTTAAGAGAAACAAATAGAACATTGTGCAAAACTTTCTAAGGATCTGACTGTAAGTAAAAATAAAAATTCACATGTGTATTTATTATAATGCATCAACTATCTTTCGCAAAATCAAAATACTGAATTTTGGCAGATTTCCGTTATTTTTCTTTCTGAAACGTTTTTAACTAAAATGTTATGGTCCTAAAGATTAAGACGCATGTAAGGTTTTAGAGGAGCTTTTACATACTTTTTTACGGCTATTTTTCGAGTCTCTCGATAAAACTTTCTTGGTTCCTTTTAGCAGTCTTTTCGTGAAAATATGAAAATCTCCTGAAATGTTTGCTGGACGTAGATCTGTTAAACCACGGGTGCGTTTTCAGAAGATTAACTTGACTTGATCCTATAATAACGTGAGATTCAACGCGAAGCACCTTTGCCGACGATGACTATCTCGTAGCGTTTTAGCCAATTAGCATGTTTGAACCCATTTAGATCCGTGAAGAGACAGATTCCAAGATTGTAATGAAAGTGCGGATTTAATGCTTTATATAGAAGAAAAGCTATTCAGCTTTAAAGCAAGGCGGATTTGACATGCCTTTATCGCAAGATACACGTGCAGAAGGTAAAGAAACAAATTTTAATACTTTTTAAATTTTTGTGCTTGATATATTTCTCTCATTTCAATTTTTTCCTCAATTAAAATCTATATAACTTTTTGATATTTATTAGATATTTTTGTAACTTCAAATTAAAACTTTAATTATAAAATTTATAGGACACTTACTATAGAAATAATAGGAAGGAATTAATAAGGATAAGATTTTGTGATTTTTTTTATATAACTTCTCTTGCAATTTAATTAATAAAAATTTATGAAAACTTGTGATAAAAAAATTTTTCATCGTTTATAACTGATGAATCATTAGCGCTGTGCGTGCGAGATATTTTTATGAGAAAATCGATTCGAATAAATTCGTAGGTATAATGGAGGATATGAAACACGATGCGTATCTAGAATGTTATTTCTGTCATGGCTGACGTTAATATTTGCGAACGCGCGATAAATGAATATTTGAAACCCAGTTGCAAAAATACGCCATGCAGACGCATACATAGTTTACGAACTATTGTCCTAAACCAAGTATTATATTTAAAAAATGGTGTACCATTGTTGGTTTCGAACACACTATCTATACAGACTGGTAAACATATGAAAATGGTTTCCATTCGCGCGATAAAAACGCTCATCTGCCAGATCTGCCATATCGAAAATCGGGCCACGTCGAAAATTTATATCACTTTTAATCCGTGCCACGTTAAATTTCCGACATTCTATTCGTCGACGTCTACTCTCCGCGCCTCGGCCTATTTCAACCACGCTACTTTTCCCTTGACGACCGGCGCTTTTTATCATCTCACACCCGGAGCGCGACGGTAATTACTTGAATTTCCGAGGCCTTTGGACAGCTGAAGATCGCCGAGTTAGGCATCGCACGAGCGGAGACAAGCGTTTAATTTACCTGGACCAAGTTCGCGCGCGAAGTCCTTGTCGCAGTCCGTGGCGCCGAATGAAATTGCGAAAGTTGTTCGTCTAGAACGACAATGGCGCAAACGAGGTGTGAAGCAAGGCTATGAAATATAACGGTACGACAACGACGACGACGACGACGAATCCAGGCTCGGCGAAGGCCTCTCTCTGGCTGGCTTTTTACTTTACCACGCAGCCATGTAACATCGGCCAATGATCGATATTGCGTGTCATCTCTCATCTACCGAATCGATATATATTCGGAAGGAGAAACGTTTTACTTGCGCGCGCGAACACCATCGGCGCGCGGCACTGGCCGACTTGGGCCGAGTTATGAATAATGCATGCGATAAATTTGCGTCGCACGCATGCAAGCGCGCCCCGGTAATTCCATTAGCTGTACCATTTTATCGCCCGATACCGTGGATTCAATTGAGTAACTCCTTTCACGCCGCCAAGTACCATTCCGTTATTTCCTACGACCACCCCTTGCGCCACGACAAGTCGCGCGGGCGAGGGATATAGTACGTGATCCCGATATTTCTCGCGCACGATAAACGTCGCGCGGCATGTTAACTAGTTTATTAACGTCTACGTTGAATTCCTGCGGCGACCATTTGGTTCGTTTGTTTAAGTTTAAAAGCAAAATACATATACCACATATACCTGCAGAAAGTAATTTAGAATAGATTTTTGTAAAGTTTTTATGTTTCTATATATGACTAATAGAGATCTTTTTGGATTTTTTTTTAAAGTTCTGAAGATTATGATACGTTTTAAAGAAAGCTTCTGATATTTCAATTATTATTATCGAAAAGATGAAATTAAAAATAAAACTGGTATTTTTTTTATTCTCAGATGCAAATTTTCAGTTTCATGGATAAGAAGCTTTTTTAAGTCTAGCATTTTCTTCGAAAACGAAAGTTAAGTTTTTGTACTTTTAGAGCTTCATGCAGTTGACAATAATTCATGTCTCTTGTAATACATAGTGCTATTTTATTATCTTTATTATGTTACAAATCAACCTCTTCCTATCCTTACAAAACGATTCATTAATCATTTTAATTAATCGAGGAAACGTCGAGGACTATATATAGTTTTATTACTTCTGCCGCTTCATCTAGCAAGCACTAATTATCTTTTCTGCATTAAGTAATAAGTATATTCAATGTCAGTAATAACTAAATAATATTATAACAAAATAATTGCAAAAATGTCCATGTTTTACATCAAAGCTTCCATTTAAAAACACGTTCTTTGCAATGCTTATGAATATATATTGTTTTTATTTATTCATTTTCATCGATTTATTGCAAATAGTATATGTATTACGCGTATGTCAGTTATAAAATTTATAATATATGAAATGAACTAGTTCTACTTTTTTATTATATAGACACATGGTTATATATACATAACTCAATAAGTACATAATTGTATATTCTCTATCCAGTCTATCCGATGCGCACAAATTTTATCTTTTGCTTTATTTAATTCAAACGCTATTAAAACATCTCATTAAAGCGTTGAGTTTGATTAATAATCTCATCCTCATTATGCGATTATGTAATGCATAATGTACATTTATAGATGTATATTTCTTCGGATATTCTCGTAAATTTAAGCAGCATATTATATTCTCTTCATTCTTTACTTTATTTTACAAGAGATTCTGTATTTTAACAAACTTGTTACTTTAATTTTGCGTTTAACTTCTTATTCATCACATTATTGTACATTATTCCTGTTTTTATCGTAAGTTTCTATTTCGTTTAATTACCGACAATGCAAAAATACGAAGTAACTTCGCTTTTACATGAAACCTTTATACATCGCAAATTGAAGATTCTGTTTCTGCGCGTAAAACATTTTTTATTGAGTCCCAGTTAAATATACAATTATAATTGCTTCTCAAAAGGAATCTGTTATTTTAGGGAAAATTAGAATTTACATAGTGCAAACCGAAAACTCTGCTTCCACGTATATATATTGAAAATATTTTTTTCGCGTTAAATTTCATTTAAATATACATAGATATATACATACATTTAAATGTAACAAATTTACAAAATGTATCTATAATGTCGGGGGAAGTTACGTGACACGTTTTTCTCGCGAATTCCCTCACTTCCAGATGCCCATCTGTAATTGAGAGCTAAAATTATAAATCATCTTCCTCTTTCAGTTTACGTCGACCATACGCGGTGAAGGAATTGTATGGATATCGCAGGCACACAGCAAACAATCGACTTCCTCCGCGTTTACAAAGCGCAAACATGAGCCATAAATCTCTACGTTTCTTTCCCGTACCTCGCTTACTCTTTGACTAGAACAGCAGTCGTAAATTTCTCCCTCTTCGAGCAGCAAATGTCGCGTTGCAATTAACGTAATTAAACTGAATCTTAATTATCGCGGGCGGTAGTGGATGAGATTTTATCTGTGTCATGAGGTACCGCTTCGCTGCTTCGTAATGCGTGTATGCCTCTCGTACTCTCTCTAAAAGCCTATTTCTCATCTCTTATTATCATCGTTCCTATTCTCCCCTACGACAATATTGATATTGTAGATGGATTTTACAAGTGACTATAATTAGTAACTAATTACTGACAAGTATCTCCAAGTAATCGTTTGCAAAACAATAATAAATGTTTCTTTTTACAAGAATGTCAACAGTAAAGAATATATACGAATGTGTCTGAATAATAGTTTGAAATACATACACCTAAATGTATTAATGTGCTGCTTTAGCATTTTTGTGATTTTCAAAAAACTAGCAAAAGTATTTTTATTAGCTGTATAACAATGTTTTTGTTGCTAAATTACGTTCACGGGATTGCAAGATTGCACGCTGGAAGCAGCAAGAAGACGCTGACAAATTCGAACCGTCACACAGAGGAGCACATTAATAACAATTCCACGATATTTGTCTCTTGTTTCTTCTTCACGATTAAAAGTACTTTTTCATGATTTTCCCCAACGGCCGCCTAACGCCGCGAAAGCACGCCATACCCATTTCCCCGTCGCAGACACGGTTCATGCAAGATGATTAGAGAGCGGCAAAGCAATTACCTTCCGTGCACATGAAGAGTATGGCAGCAATTGAGAGCCTCGCTTGCCATCTCAGAGCCATTTCCGCGACTGTTTCGGGAGACGCTTGCACTTTGATACTGAAACGATTCACATCCTCCTTAGCGAGATCGCTAACTATCACCACTCACTGATATACCCCACCAGGCGACACCAGGTCTTATCACCGCCGACTTGCTTTGGCTCTTACGCCCGATTATTAGCACACGATCTCGCACAGCCGTATCCGCGATTGAAACGAGACAACCGGCGGTCTATAATCGCGATTCAGTCGCGATTTAGTCCGGAAGGTTTCAATCTACTTGAAAAAAATAAATTATCGTGACGAGTGATGGTCCGCGTCAGATTTCCCGTGAGAAACGACGCGTATATATTCGACCCGCACAATTCTCCGCACTTTGGTGTGTCGTCTATTTCCTGTAGTCGCCACGTAGGCGATAACGCGCACGGAAATGATTATGGCGAAACTTTCGACGGGCAACGTGCCGCGTGCTGCGAAACTTTCCACCTATATCCTCCTCGTCTGCTCCGCTCTCCCGCGGAGTCTTCGTTAAAATCTTCGCGCTCCTTCACTCGACGGTTTAAATCTTCCGGTTAAAAGAGTCGTGTGTTAAGCGCCTCGGACGAACTTGAGGTGAGGAGGAACTTCACGTCTCGCGCGACGATTTCGGGGATTTTTCAGGGCTGCGAGTCAGGGAATCGCCTCATAGGGCGGTCCCAACTTTCGTCGCGCGTACGCGCGCGGTCCGCGTTGGCAGTGTCCTAGGAATCGAAGATTGTCGTAGAGTTACAGAACACATAGCGAGACGCGATTGTTCCGAGAACACATCTGTTTCTTTCTTTTTTTTCACTTTGTTCAAGAATCTTTCAACAATCTTTCAGACACAAGGATAAAGCACCGGCGATCGACACTGCATCCCGCCAGATCGTTCGAGAAGCGATCGATCGATCGATCGCGATTCACCAAGGAACGCGAAATCTCCGAGCCGCTCTTCTTTGTTCCGTCGCTCTACTCCGAGATCGCTCGAGATCTCGCGCAGCCAGCGGTCCGGTCGTAAAAATGTTCTCCGTTCACCGCATAACTGCTGCCGTCGTTTCAATTCCACGTTCGTCGCGACTCCCTTTTTTACGATTATGATCAACAACTCATCGCTCGAAACTGCTTTCCTCCGTCTCGTTCCGCTTTCTTTTTTTTTTATTTCTTTTCCCGTCTTTCTTGCTCGTTCTCTACTTCCGCTACCGTCGGCTACGTTTCGACGATCGACACGAAACTCCACCCGCCGCGAATCTCCATACCGATTTTCCGACCCGCGAGCTTGCACCCCGCGCTATTTTAAGAAATTGTCACGATGACCGTTCGCGTACGCGACATTGTATATAGCATGACGGCACGCACCACGTCTTGTTTCGGTGGCAGATTTACCCTGACTGGGGAGATTCTCGGCCGTGGGAGCATGCGCGCTTCCGATCCACCCCCTGTGACGATGGAAGCGCGCAGAGGGTCCACGGACGCGGACACACACAGAGACGTACACTAACGCGCGCGCACTCTCACCCCGCAGGAGAGGACGTCGACACACGTTCAGAAGCGCGTACGCACACGCACGTAAATGTATGTATATGTGTGTGTGTGTGTGATAAGGGAAACCTCTCTCTCTCTCTCTCTCTCTCTCTTTCTCCTCTCTCTTTCTCCTCCCTCTCTGTTGCTACCCCTCCGCCCCTCTCTCTTTCTCCCTCTCCCTTTCTCTCTCGTCCCTCTGTCTCCTTATCCTCCAGGACGTACGGCACTGTGTGTCACGGACAGAAACTGTGGCAGGGCGTGCAACGAGTGCAGAATCAAGGCACGAAATCTACAGTGCTCTTAGAAATGTTGCGATGGGCTTAAAGATTTACTCGCGTCTCCACGTACTTGTCAATCCAATCACGAATACGGCGGACCCCTGACTGCAGACTGCCGATCTCCTCGAGATTTCTTGTCGACGATATACGGAAAACTCCAACGACATGACGATAAAATCTTAAATGAAAAGAATCTCCGGTTAATATCCCAAAATCTGAATTTCTAAACTATAGATTATCATAATTGTATCATTGCATTTGTCATTACTTATAGTAACAGAATGATAGCATATCAGATTCTCAAATCGATTTTGATAAAATTCGTATGCTTGTAAGAATAAATAAAAATAATTTTGTCTCTGCAAATATTTAAGATCTCACCAATTTGATTAAAAAAATTAGATTTAATAAAATTCAAACCATTCTTTTACGTTATTAACTTTTTGTAAATTAATAATTATTATTTTTTGATGCTTTTCGATATCATATCGTTGCACAGATAGAATTTCGAAGAATCGTTGGAACATAAATTTAATTAAATCTGAAATAAAATACTAGTTCAAAATCGTGATGTAACTGTAACTTTAAATAACATCCATTTCGATATATCAATAAATATTTAATCTTATCGTATAAAAATTTTATTTCTATATCTATTATTCAACTCCCGTTCTCTATGCACATAAATATATTCTTGTGTATCTTTTCTCGTTCATTTGTACTCCGATACTCCAACACGAAGAATCGGAACTATCTCGAGAATACAATAGTCCGAGAATGCAAGTAACACAAGAACTCGAGCAACGCGCTTAGTTCGACCAAAGGCAACAGGAATACAAATTATAAGGGAATAAGTAATGCGAGGTGAGTCGCTCGACGAATACAGAGAATACGCATAAAACTTTCGAAACTATACTTAAAAAGCGTCGTGCACTATATTACACGTTCTTGTCAGTTCAGCTTGAAGACGCAAATGCTTGTCAATATCCAAGAAACGTATTTGTTCCTATTATATTTTATTGCATTGTATATTATTGATCGTGGTACGCACACATTTCATCACTGTTCTTGTAACACATCAAGGGCAATCGTTAGTTTTATGTTACGCAAGCATACATACGCAATATACAAAATTAATATAAGGACCAAGAGAGAATATTTTTTTCATACGATAATTATATGACTATAACCGAAAATTATATACTACTATAGCTCGATGCCTGTGCTTCGCTACGATAACACGTTTTACCCCTTTTCACTCTCTTAGAAGTTGAATTTCTAAAAATCCTTTCTTATTAGTGGGTGCTTACCCGAATTTCATGTTTCTAGATTTAGGGGTTTGGGTTGGGCGTTGATGAGTCAGTCAGTCAGTCAGGGCATTTATTTTTATATATGTATAGATTGGATAAGGTGTTAAATAAAAAAGGCCTAGAGAACATAGTTCTCGAGTGTATTCTCTAAATAAAAGATGTTTATTTATTATAAGTTTAAAAATCTATTTTAAAAGTTAAGAGTGGTTTTTTTGATTTCGATAATACAGATGACTCGATCACTTTTACGTCATCCATGCCACTTACAAATGTATACAGGTTATACGGACAATGAAATGTCACTGGTGGAAGTCATATTCCGCGAAAAGTGCAGTATTGCATATATTGGTGGAACTATAATCATACTATCTGCGATCCAATTGATACAGGATACGTCAGTCGCATTTTCAAAGTATGTCAACGGCGCATGAACTTTTTGCACGAAAGTGTTATTGGTAATTTTGAAAATTGCTCGTATTTTTATTTCGCTAGCTATATCGATCCGCGGTCATGACGGGCGTTATTTTTACGCGTTGAAGCAATGTTGGAAAATACCGTGAATTCTTACCGTAGAAAGATAATGGATATAAATATATTGCAGGAAGAGATTACTCTTGGAAGCATTCTATTTTTTGATATACTGATTGATTTGAGTATTTTTTAGAGTTAACAATTGTTTAATGGTATATTAACTTATAAATATCATTTTAATCAAAATATTTTTATTTAAAAAATTTTTAAAACATGTTTTTTAAAAATATTTATTGTATCTAACCAAAAATTTATTTTGGTATACGGATTTATGTGTCTGTAGTACGAATACAGCAAGCTGAATTAACGGCGAGAATTTTCCAGTTTATTATTATCTAAAAATATATAACTGTCAACAATAATGTCAAGAACTTAAATTTTCGTAATATTTAAAAATATTTTAAAACGCACTTCTAAAAGTGATACAATTAAATATTCACATACAGAGAAAGAGAGAGAGAGAGGAGAGAGAGGAGAGAGAGAAAAGAGAGAGAAAGAAAGAGAGAGAGAGAGAGAGAGAGAGAGAGAAACTGTGTTTTGTTGTGTCTCTCATTTCCGTGTGAATAAAATTACAATAAAACAAAAATCTCTGTAACATATTAGCGGGCAAATTTTACGTTTCAACCCACTCGTTGAGTTAAAATACAGATTTATTCTCTAAACGCTAAAGTGCAAATCCAACATTTGTTTATATGGAACGCGCACCCGATTTGCGCGCAAATTTGCCGCGATTCAAAACTTTTAACTGGTTTACCGCGTCGCGACAAAATGAAAGTAAATATCGTGAGAGATTTTCCTACCGTTATTCGACGCGACTTAACGCGACCGAATTGGAAGACCCGTGCATTGAAAATACTTCACCATTTGATTTACGTTTGCATGTATCATCGCTTTTAAGCTGCCAGTAGTAATCAGCCGAACGCGGCCGGCCACCATTTCCCTCGATAGCGCTTTTTCACAGTGAAAACGCGGTGAAACTTTTACTTCCGTTTCAGCGCGGATGGAAATTCTGTCATACCGAATCCCGTGTGTAACAACCATTAACGCTCCCAATCGCAAACATATTTTTTTCGTCGCGTGTTTTTAAGATACAAACATGCAACTTTAATCTCACTCAATATTGTTAGTCTGATTCATGTACATACTTCGAGTTGTAATTTCATAGCTTTAGCATTGTCAGTTCTGATTTTTTTATTAGAATAATAAGCAACATATAAAATAGCTATATAGATGTTTAGAAAAAGAGATTTGTTAATAAGTTTTTCTCTTTTTCTCTATTACATCTTTATATATTTATTATAAATTTTGTTATATTTTATTGTGTAATATTATATTGTTTAATATTATAATGTTATGATGTTATGAAAGTACATTTATGTTGCATTGATGCCCGATATATGCATGAGCAGGATTATCATGTAACATTTTGTTAAATTTGTGCACGAGAGGATTTATTGCGGAACACTTAATAAACAACGCCCTATTTCTTTTTTCCTCGTTATTTTTTTTTTCTTATATTGACGTGTATTTTGATGTAAATATTGAAATAAATTCTCATCATTCCAGTCATAATTCAAACAACAACTTAAACTTTATAATTACTTTGGCTAGAAAATCTTTAAATGTCCAGAGGAGAGTGTGCAAAGTTACATACACAATCAAGTTACTATTACTTTACGTATTATACATATCTATATTCGTTTACTAGCGTTGTTCTTTTAATAATGAATAAAGACTTGAAAATAAAAAATTTACTTCTGCATTCTAAATCACTCTTTGCTCATTGTTCTGTTTATAATTCAGTTTTCTGCCAATCGTGGTAAATCGAAATGGTACACAATGCATAATCAATGCTTATATATAGATCGGCAACATTTCTAGAGCCACAGTAAATATTCGGACGTCCAGGATAAGGTCAGCACGGAGGCTTTGAATATTAACTCATGTCTCCATTTTGCATGTCGACGCGATCATGGATACCCAGACTCCCGGCAAAGCCTAAACGATCATGCGATATTGCAGTATGTCAGTGGTTGGAGCACTGATGTGTATCCGCACGAAAGTACGCCATGTGTTCACGTGAAATACGTACCATTACTTGGCTGAATGAAACACAAGTGACGCTCTCTATCGCGCTGGAGACGGTACGTTATTAATTTTGTAAGACAAATGCACCGAGATCTATGGTAAATACGTACAGGCAAATTTATGCTTGTTTAACGTCGTTACATAGTTAAAATAGAATCTTCCCTGCAGATGTGATAATACTTTTAAAACATTTATATTCGGCGTGGACGGAAATCCTGTTTTATAAAGTTGGGCCGCTGAAATTAGACACTAGACAAAAACTTAATTCTATGAAAATAGCGTATATAATAGCAAGAAGACAATGAAACTAGAAGGAATATAAAAAACTGATATATAGGATAACATTTTCTGTTTTAATAGTGAGAGAGAGAGAGAGAAAAAATATTTAATTCTTCATATACTTCTGAATGTTAGATTTAGAATAAAAATTTTTTAAAATCCTGGCTTAAAAAAATTAATTTTAATTTTGTAGATGGAAAAAATCAGATAGAGAATATTTACAGACAAAATTTTATTTTGTTAGATAGAAAGATGGCAGTTGACACTTCTCTGTTAGAATCTCACCTAACTTTTTATCATCAAAGATTGAATACGATTTGTACGTTATAGGTATTGGTAAAGATCTATACAAAAAAAAATATTGT